TGTGAGGGTATATACTGTTCACGGAAATTTGCTCATTTACTTTTGAACAAATAATTATAAATACTATTAGTTGTCTTAAGTTGGACTTCTAAAAAAAAGAATAAAATAGATGGTCAAATGAGCTTTAAAAAATAGACATAATTATCATTTAGTCAAATTCAACATTATTGTTCTGAAGTACTTGTTAAATAAAATGAGTTGCTTGTGAGCTCGACTCGACTCGTTAAAGCCGAATCGAGGTCATTTAAAATTTGTTTAGTTGACGAGCCGAGCTCGTCTCAATAATAAGAATATTATGTAATTTTAATATTTCGCCTCATAATGTTTGAACTCAGCTCATTAATATTAACAAATGAGTCAAATTTCAGTTTGTTTAGCTAACAAAAATTCATTGTCAGTTCTCATCACATTGAAATGCAAACATTAATATTCACTTAAAAGAGATAAGACAAAAGGCCACAAAAAAAAACCTGCTGCATTGCTGGCAGAACCTCTGCCGGATTCCGGCGACCACCACCGCGGCACCACCTGAGCCTTGGCGTGGAGCTCGCATACTCTGTGCCGCTGATGGTAAATCTTGGCCTCATTCGGATCAGTCAAGCACCTCTCCACTTGACACTTCTTCACCGAACTTCCGGCGTCGCCACCGGAACACCTCTTGCCGCCGCCACCGGAAAGACCATCAAAATTATCTTCTTGTTCTGCAAAATTATTCATGTTTTTGCTGTTCATGACTTTTTCTTTCATGGGCATACATACATTGGTTTTGGTGGTTGGTTAGTGATATTTTTAACAAGTGATAAAGTGTAGCGGGAGAAAGAGAGAGAGATTGGGTGAATGAGAACTTTGAGAGGAAAGGTGGAGAGGGATGTATGAGGACCATATCATTTGACAGAAACGATGGAGAAAGAGAGAGAGATTGGGTAAATGAGAACTTTGAGAGGAAAGGTGGAGAGGGATGTATGAGGACCATATCATTTGACAGAAACGATGGAGGAAAACGGGTGCGGGCTTACTACCATGATGCGCATCATGGGAAAACGAGAAAAACCCATATGAAGCCTCCCATAAATGGGTACGTAGTCGCACGGTAGAACCGGCTCTGATACCATGACAGAAACTATAGAACCGGCTCTGATACATGACAAAAACTGTAGAACCGGCTCTGATACCATGACAGAGACTGGGGAAAAAACGGGTTCGGGCCCACTACCATGAAGCGCACCATGGGAAAACGAGAAAAGCCCATATGAAGCTCAAATGGGGTTCCATCCCAAAACCAATTGGTGGAAGTAGGAGTATCCCATTAGCCTTATAAGGTGGGTCTATTTTCCATGTATGGATGATGTGGGACAACTCACAAGTGATATTCTAACATCATTGACTGTACAATGAAGTTATTCAACTTTTTACTGTTCAAATATTTTATCGTTAGATCAATATATATACATACATATGTATAGTCACTCACATGAATTTGTGTTAATCTAACGAACACGATCATTAAGTGACTGCATTAGGTTGAAATGAACACGATCACAAGTGATCTCCATAGATTTGTGTCCTTTTGAAGATTTTTTATTTGCTTGTGTGTTTATTTCATACCACGTGTATATAATAATACTTGGGGTTGAAGATTATGATCAAGAATAAAGGTGTATTTGTTCATGTGATATGTGGGGAAGCTACATAGTGAGTACGGTAGAAAATATAACACCCATCTATTTATGTTGTTATTTATCAAATATGTCCAAAGTAATTCTCTAATTTTGCATTTGTGGGTTACTAAGGTGTGCATGTTGTGTATGCTCTATTGCTCTAGTGAAATCAAGTGTATGAATACAGATCAGCAAAACTTAGCCGAAATTGAAAACCAAGTCGAATTGTGAAATCATGTGTACTTATATAGGTTAGGTTAAGAAAAATCGAGGAG